AGTTGTTTCTTATCATCAAACTCTTGCCCAACCTCGAATTCACCATCTGCAGAGAAGCGACTAGAAGTTGTACAACCCTTCCATGATTCATCAAATCCCGCAGGGAGCTCATAAACTTCAGTGTAGTGGCTGGATGGTGCATTGCCACTTACGAGATCACCACCATCTTCATCTGAATCTGTTAGTGTGTCATGGTTCACATTTTCATCTGCATCGTCGTCATTGCACTGTGAATCCAGAAACGTTGCATCACTATTCACGTATCTTCCATTCTCTTGTGTAACCATACTCATCACAACTGGAACACTTGTGGATGGGCAAGACAATGGCAGGTGGCCAGGTTGTATGGGCAACACTGCCACTTCTTCAAATATATCTCCATGGTATGCATATCAAGATTCTCGATTACAGTCCACATTCCTGTAATGGCTTCGTCGTCAACAAGAGGCACCAACATGTATGATCCACCATGCATGGGATATTTAACCTTCAAATCCAACTTGTTCATACGATTGATGGATGTAGCGGCATAAATTTTATTCATTATTTCAGCAAGATCCACCCCACGGGAAACAACAATTATCTTCCGAATCCCTCCTTCATAATGAACTCCGTTTGACTCCTCGATAATATTTCCTCCCCATTTACAAACAATGGAGAAGTTTCTAGACATATTCTATGAAAAAATCATTCCAGAAAAAGTATTAGAAAATTCTGTTTGAAAATTCAACTACAATTACTATAATTCAAAAGAAAAGTATTAGATCGTAGATACATATTACGATTTCATACCATTAAATTAGGACTCATAATAATTAACCAGTAAAAAAAATGTGGTGTAATGAAAAAGCAACAAAATCAACAGTTAATTAGCATTAGTTAATTAGTAAAAGAAAAACAAAATCCGTTAATAAACAAGTAAACAACAACTTCAAGCAAATCAACAGCAATTTTGAACAAAACAATAACAATTTCAAGCAATTTGGAGCAATAACTAAAAAACCTAAAAAAGGGTGAAAGTTGGTATCATTCAAATTTTACAAATTATATAAATTCAATCATAATAACAAGATTAAGAAGTTATATATTTCACAACATCAAATACAAAGAAACTAATTAAAAAAACAAGTAATTTCGAACAACCAATTAAAAAACCTAGGTTTAGCAAAAATGGTAGAATACCTCTATTCAAACAATAGAAAGTCGATGGAATGGAGTACAAACGACCTCGGGTACACCACGAGCCTTTTCCCTTTGATTTGAGCTTCGTTTGGACGAGATCTGGCCGGAATCGGAGCACTTGCTTCGTGCTGTTGCCGTTCGTCGATTGCTGCAGAGGGAAGGGGAGGGCAGATTAGTTCGTCGTTTGGGAAGAAAGGGGGGATATGTCTACGGATTAATGAGCCGCCACTCGAAGTGGCGGCTTTTGTATTACTATAGAAGAGCCGCCACTCGGACTGACGGCTTTTGTAAAGATAGATGAAGAGCCGCCACTTGGAGTGGCGGCTTTGCTTAACCATGGTTAACCCAACAGTAATTTGGGAATTATTCTTAACCCAGCAGTATTCTGGGAATTATTTATTTAATTAGCATTATTCCAGGAAAAAAAACTCTATTAAAAGGTACGACTGCACGCTAATAATAAGGGAGTGTTTGCATTTGATTAAAAAAAGTGCTTTTCAGCTTTTGGCTTAAAAAAAGTTAAAAAGAGTGTTTTCAAATGACAGCTTCTGCTTAAATTAATCACTTAAAAGCTAAAAGCTGGAAGCAGGTGGAAGGGTGTTTTAAACTGCTTTTCACTTTTTCTATTACACAAAAAGTACTTCTTTTACCAAACACTACCAACTTTTACTTTTTCAGAATCACTTTTTTTTCAAACACTACCAACTTTTACTATTAATCACTTTTCCCAAAATCACTTTAAAAAATCACTTCTTTAAAGTTGAAGCAATTGCAAACACTCCCTAAGTAAATATTAATAATAGTTCCAAATATTTTAAATACTTTGGGAATAAAATCCGAGTATCCGACTAGACCCAATTGACTACCTTCCGCATTTGGGGTCGTTCGAAAATCGAAAGTACTCACTTTGCCATTGTAGGACTCCCCTTCCAAGCCCAATAAAGAAAGGAATATTGTGATTTTGTGAACCTCCCTAGCTAGCTTGTTAAACCTTCTTGGTTTGGTAAACCTTCTTTGAATTGGACCTCATAATTACATCTCGAGGGACCACAAATGGATTGTGAAATATGTATGTGTAGCTAGGTTCTCATCATCGACCGTATGTGGAATTCCATGTAAATGAACCACTTCTAACTTCTCTAATGAATAGATCGATCATCTATATGATAGGTATCACCTATTTTGGAACAAGGAAATGAGACAGCCATCTTACTGCCTAACACGTTCCTTTAGACCTTCGTTGAATTTTTTATGGGCTGTTTATCTCTTCATGGGTGGATTAGGCAATTATGAAGACAAAACAATAGCAAGAGAGTATGAAGTAAAGTGGATCAAGTTCTATTGATGACTTAGAACAATTACACCACACTTTTACTAACCCTGGTCTCTTACCCTCTTTTACCACACTTACACCACACTTTTACTAATGACGGTGCATTTTGTCAATCTCCTCATAAATATACATATTGTGAGAGAACGGAAAAGGTTGCTGTCTAAGGAGCCTGCCAAGTATATTTATAATAAGAGAATATTGTTTAAAATACATAAATAATCCTAGTCTATTACACCCCCTCAAACTGTGCAGGAGATACAACGTGCAAGTTGTTCTTTAAAAAATGAAAGCGTTGACTAGAAATACTCTTAGTAAAAATATATGTCAGCCATAGATGAGTAGGAACATATTGATAAATCACCATCAGCAACACGCTCCCCTAACAAAGTGATAGTCAATTTGAATGTGCTTGCTCCAAGCATGTTGAACAGGATTAGCAATCAAGTAGGAGGCGAAAATATTATCACAGTAGGAGCATGTGTTAAAAATTCCAACATATGGGCAATTTGGGGCAATATTTTGAGTGGGATCAACTTCCGATTTGGGTCAGGTCAAAGTGGTTTCGGATTGTCCTTGTTAAGGCCTACATTTCGATATATGGTACACTCAAATCGGATAACAGGTGAATGAGAAATTGATTCTCGAAGTTCACTCGTTGAAACGGAAAAACTGGGAAAAGATGGGTTTCTAGTGTGGCTTTTTCTCACACCGGAAAACCCAAGGGATTTTCAACCCCTTATAAAGGGAAGCCTCTTTTAAGAAGTTAAGATTCTTAGGTGGAAAGGCTCTTTTTACGCGTCGGGGGGTGCGAATCAAATCCCGAAAACGGAGAAAAAAATCGCGACTTGCGTGCGCGGGCGACTTGGGGACCCAAATGTCGTCCGATATCTCTCGTTTATAAGATTTAATTTTTGTTTCTTCCCGTGACGCCTCTTTTTTCCCGTATCAGATTGCTCGAACCAGAAGGCTCCGCATCAGAAGGCTTCTGACCAGGACGCTTCTGATCATAATCAGAAGGCTTCGGCCAGACTTTTCTGAATAGCTTCTGAAACATTCGAACAATAAATGTCCAACGTTCTGCAGCTTGAAATGAACAAATCAATGCCCAACGGACTAGTCATTGATGTCCAACGGATAGGTCCATTGAAATGTAATTACAACTCAACAAATCCTTTCCTATAAAAGGTTGGCAGGTGTTTTGCAACAAATACAACACACAACTCGTTCTTCACGTAGTTTTTAGCTAAAATACACCTCTAGCATTCTGCAAGATTCCTTAGTGTTCATACTGCGTTTCCGTTCACCGGAACAATTCGTTTGAGTACTCAACGATTGTTCGTAGTCATCGTATCCTGGCAAACGATTGTTGCAACGCTCCTAACACCTGGGGAGGCAACGAATAGGTTTTAAGGATATCGTGTCTAGCACGAGCTTTGGCTAATTTCTGCTCCATCTTAGTTTCTGTTTTTTCTTTAGTCATTTTAATTCATTTCATTAATTATTTTTTTCTTACTTTGTCGAGACACACCCAACACACTCCTCCATAAGTGGCATAATGATATATTCTTTGAGTTTATTTTTGTTGCAGAGTGCTTTTAAGGAACTTGGCATAACATGGAATTTAAGCAATGACGTCTTTAGTGAATGATATATTGATTTGAAGTTCCTTAAAAACTTCTAAAAATTTGGTGAAATTTTTATCACACACTGTTGAGTACATTGTTTCGTTGATGACAAACCATGCAGGTGGAACGGCGGACTGAACCGCTCCCAGTTCCTTAAGGAACAAAGGACAGGACTATCCTCAGGTCCAAATGGACATTATTATTGTGTTGTTGACTAACCATGCAGGTGGAACTAATACTGAACCATATCTAGTTCCGTGATATGGTTTGAATTAATATTGATTACACCTACTTGATTACACCAAATAATATATACGTAATTTGCATTTGAGTGGCCATTTGGGTGATTATTATCTATCTTTCCATACTTGAATAGACATCCACTCATTAAATATTGTTTAAATACTTTATGGAAAGTATCTTTACTTAATGTAAGTGTATGGCCCCTATTTTATTGATAATATACGTAAAATGTTAAGTACTCCCATTAAGTTTGAAAAAGTAATCCTTAGTGGAAATATTAATTGAATATCCTTAGGATCTTAATTAATGAGTGCATCCACTTAGAAAGGAAATTTCTTTTAAAAAGGGTCCATATTAATGCCGTTGCATGATTACTTTTATATGTTAATACCTTTTTTAGATTTGACCAAAGCTTGCTTCATTTGGTACTTAATTCAAAATAGCTTCTAATTTAAAAACCCCACCTTAATTAATCACGTAAGTTGAATGAACCGAGTATATTTTTATTAAGTGCGTGATTGATTGATCACCTTGAATATTTGATTATGATATGTTGGATGTTTTATTTTGACTGACTTATATATTGAGCTCGGATATGGAAATATTATGGAAGGAAGACAATTCAAAATATCAAGGCAAGTCCCAAGATTAGAAGATCATTTATTCAAGAGAAGAAGGCTCCAACGGATTCATGGTGTGGCTGCCTATATAATCGAAGTGGCTGGAGAGAAAAAGATGGCCTGACCGAGACAAAATCAGAAGAGACATATTCACAAAAATATCAAAGTCCAAGGCGTCTGAAACTGCTCACTCAAAGTTCTAGATATAGTTTCTTCTTTCCCTTCTTTACATTGTAATGGGGTTTTGAGGATTGGCTAAGAGCAGCCTCCTCGGGTTGATTTGTGTGAGTGAGAGCTTTGTTGTAAAGTTGAGAGGCTCTCTACCCGCAAGGTAGAGAAGCGTAACTCTTCCTAGAGAGGATAGAGTTGGGGTGGCTCAATGGTAAACTAGGAGAGTTTCTCTTGTAATCATTCAAAGGCTTTTTAGTGGACTTGTTAAAATTCCTCCGAGGGAGGTCGATGTTTTTTAATCCCTTTGAGCCAAGGGATTTTTCCTCGCTAAATTCTTGTGCACTTTACTATTTCGCAATTCCCTATACCCCGCACTAGAACTTGGCGAAAAACTGTCACGGTTCCACACACACAATTCACCCCCCCCCCCTCTTGTGTTGCTAACCGTTTCATCACACACCTTCTTTTGGAGTCATTGGAATCTAAGAGTATGTTTGAGAGTTTGAAGGGAATATGGGGGAAAGTTTTGAAAGTTAGTCATTTAGTTGAAGGGGAGATAAAGGAGCGGAAATCGATCTTCTTGTTTGGGAGTAATAAATTTGGAATGATAGAGATTAAGGATGAGTTATAATTAGAAGAAATAATTACATAAATATGACCAAAATAAAGATGATTTACAAAAATATGACTAGTTACTAGAGTAGTAATGAAATCATAGTAATTCATGGTCAAGATTTGAATTTAAGTTATCACAACACTACCTTGTAGTAATGAATAGTCACTTCACATACGTATTATTTAACAAATTCAAATAGTTGAATTTATATATTTTTTTAAATTGAACTAAAATTATCATTTAATTAGTTATCTTTCAAAATCTCTGGACATGAGGAACTTGAAAATTAAGCATTTGGGGGTTTGAGAGGGTCATAAACTCTTATCAACCGGCCCCTCCCCTCCGAAACCAACTCCCAAACATACCTAAGAGATTTGCAAAAGATAAATGGGCCTGAGCGGTGCTTGATTTGCGGGGTATGTGTCATTGATGTCTCTCCTTAATTATTTGGACCGGTGTCATTTCGTGTTGCCTGGGGCCATCGGTATATCTCTCACCTTTTAGGGTGATGGCCGTGACACTCTCCGGTTGACTTACACTCTCATTTATATTTCTCTTTAGACCTAATCGGCCAATTTTTACCTCAAAGTTGGGGATGGAGATTTGGTGTATTGTTCAAAGTTGTCCCTCATTTAGTTGAGCTTTATGTTTTGATCATCGAATAAATTCAACTTGGTGAATTTGGAGTGGAGGTTGCTGGTGGATGCTTCAATCAGACTCTGATTTTCATCATTTTGGATTTTCAAGGTAGCAACATTTTGCGTAAGGACTTTCATCATATCTTAAATTGTTGGTTCGGTTTGTTGTCCATATGACCATATCCCTTTAAAAAACCGGAAGAGTAATTTGAATTGTTGCCTTGGCGTCTCCAATTATTGTGTAGATTCCATACTTATTGGTGGTTGCTGCCTTGTTAATTCTCCCGAGTGTCATAAGAGTTCATTTAGTTGACCTCTTCAAGATGTTAGGATGAGCTTCCTACCGGCACTGGCGGAACTAGGGGGGAGCGAGCCGGTGCCGCCGCCCCCCGTTGTGTGGCGACCGTAATGTATATATATGTATGTATATGTCACAGTCCCAGTTGGAAAATGTGAATTATATAAGTCTCTGTACCAAATATTATCGTGTTTTAGATGGTCCGCATGGTAGAAGTGCTGGACTATTTTAGTTTAGGTCATGAGGTTGATTCCTTATCTCTACGTAAATTTTTAAGCTCCTTACCCTCCATTTCAGATGTCTTTTGTTTATAGTACTCCGTATTTTGTTTTGAATTTTTTTACCTTTGAGTATTTTCAGCTCTTTCACATTCTTATTTTCCATTACAAACTAGTCCGTATACGCCATTTTTTGTTTCTTCTCATATTGATATCAGATTTGCTTTTTCTTTTTATTTAGTACAATGGCATAAATATGACATACTATCGTACTACGTATAAATTTTGTAACATTCGTACTAAACCAAAGAAAAAGTTAATGTTTATGCTAAAATTAAAGTTACATATAAACATTTTAAAGTACCATGATAAGTGTGTATAAAGTTGAAACAAATTCACATCGAACATAACAAAAAAAGACTTAAACTAAAAATGTACTTCGTATATATTTAAATGCATATATATTATATTATATTATATTATATTTTAAACATAAATATATTACTAATTTTGTATGCTTTCATGATGTATATTTTATGTTAAGGTACTAATTAAATGAATATATCTAAATGACTCGAGATATACCTAAAATGTTGTTAATTAGATTATAAAGTGGTGCTATTATTTGACAAATAAATTAAAATTGAAGTGTTCTGCGAGAACATTTTTTTAAACATACCATATATATTTATGGAATTTGGTTCAAATGAGAACATGATCTAAAAAGAGAAATGGAAACAACGTAACTCTGGAGCGTTGGATTTGAGTATACAGTGCATTATGTGAAACAAAAATGTGCACTATCATATATTAGAAAATGTGCATGTGAACTGTGCATTAGTTTACACTATTGTGGACATTCGAATTTTGCATTATTTTTATTTTAAATGTGCATCATTTTGGAGTGTTCTCGTTTCTAATGTTAAAAAGTGTTCTCACCACAACTAAAGCATATATTTATGTATGTATATATACATATATATAAAGAAAAAATTCCGTATGTGTGCGTATACATAAGCACTCCCTCAAATTTTTCTCTGGTTCCGCCACTGCCTACCGGGTTCGTAATGCCCTCCACATTTGACACTTGCTTGGATCCTTCAATTGTTGTTTGTAAGGACATTTTAATATGAGCTTGGGCGATTAGAAGCCTCAAATTCGTGTTTATTTTCAATATACCCCTTCCCTCGATTATGTGGGCACTCCTACAACAATGACTTAAAATGCCTTTATTCATCTTGAATAATTTTTCTATTATTTGTTGTTTAAAGCTGAAGATTTGTTATCTCAATTTGATGTAATACCCAGGAAGTTCACGAAAGGATTAATGGTGCTACTCATATCAATAAAGTGAACGTTCTTTTAAGCAAGCTCATCTGTTAAAAACTCTAAACTAAGTGTGCTTACACGAGAGTAGTCTTAGGATGGGTAACCCCTGAAAAGTTCCCCGGCCCGGGTGCGCACGAGTGGTGACAAAGTGTGTTGCAAAAGCTTATGTTGGTTTGTGAGAACTCTACTAGATCCAGAGCTAATAAGTTTGTATTCCAACACACTTTAATGTCTGCAAAAAGTCATATATACACATTACTAGCATAATTCCTTTCATTATTTTGCTAAGGTTTGATTCATTTTTCTAAAACTTGTTAGGCGCTAGTTGGGCGGTTGAGGGGCGCCTAGGCGGCCGATTAGGCCGATTTTTTGGCCGACTAGGTCGATTTTTTAGCCGACTAGGCCTCTACAGTAAGGGCCGCCTAGGCCGATTAATTGGTCCGACTAGGCCGATTTTTAGAATAGTGGTTCGATTTATCAGGTATTACACGGGTATTTTAATTTTTGGAAGGAATTTTATCATGTTTTAGAGGAAAAGTAATTGGAGATAGAGTTTGGAGATGAATGAGAGTTGAAATGTGAAAACGGTTATTTTGCCACGGCCCAACTTGCTACTGGAGCATATCTCTTTAGAAAAATCTAAATGAAGGAATTCAAGTTTCAAAGTACCTCTTTTGGGATCCGGAACCTCTGCCATACTCCAAGGCAAGGCACGGTGCCCGGTTGTAGAGAACCGTCCGATCACAATATGGACGGTCGGAGATATTGAGGTGCAGATCCCGAAGCTTCTCTTTTTCCCATCCGACGGTCCCCTGCGCGCAAGGCACTCTGCCGTGCGGCAGAGGATCCCGGTCGCCTCTTTTGGCTTCATTCGCTAGTTGACCCGAAAGTTCCAATTTTTAAATGCCTTTGACCCCCATTTTCTTCACTTCTAGTTGCATTTCATATTTCTTGCTTAGTATGAGGTATATATATGTACTTTCTTCACATTTCTATATTGATTGATAAATATAATTATTTATATAAAACATGAGTAATTGTTGTGCTTATCGGTAGTAAACTGCAAATGTCTTCATGTTTACCCCAAAAGTTGTGGACATCGTGAACTCGTGGTCTCGTGCAACTCCTAAACGCACAGTTTTTCATCAATGTAGTTGTAGGCACTAAAAGATTTTTCTAGTCTCTTACGAGCTCCGGTATTTTCAAGTCATATGTCACCATAATAATGTAGAAGTTGAAGTAGTGTCATGGTCTCCTCATCTCTGGTGGTGTACAAAATGACCCCTTGGCTGGTTTAACCATAGTGAGTCATTAATCAATGTGTTGAATATAATATTCATACTAATTAATCTAAAGCTAGAACATCTTTAATAAAAGCTTGAGTATCATTTGATATTAAAAAACTGAATGAAACGGGAAAGAACAAAATGAAATGAAGAGATGTTGCTTTAGTAATAAATCAAAATCCGTAAACAGCCTCTCCCCAAAAAATCTTACACATATTATTAATTGTTATACGACAACATATTAATCATCACATTGTTAACCTTCGAACTATGCTTCTTTCAAAAAAAAAAAAACTTCGAACTATGCACTCTAATTGATAAATCATCACTCACTTAACCTCAATTCTTTGATGTACTTTAACCCACTCCTTTGTTGATGTATATTAAACTACTCTTTCAGGTTATACAATATTACACATTTATATCCTATGACTACGATACTAATAAATGAAAAAAATCAAAGTTAGTAATTTCACAATCCTTGGAACATATATAAGTAATTTTGATTAAAAGTCCAAGTGTGTCTGATTTATTTTTTGGGTTTCATAAATATTACTCCGTATAAACACTAACAGATAAATCATTTGTGCACACAGGGTCATATTATTTGGAGGATTTGTATTAACTTCATTGGGATTACAGCTGAGAAATGGCAATAGAATTTGTGAGGTCACTTACCCTATGATGATTTATTTTGAAATTCTTTGTTTACTAAGCCATGGTTGCATGGCTTCTATTGTATATTATTGTTCCATACACGTATTTAAGGAATATGTTGACAACATACCAAGTGCTAACTCATAAGACCTGCCAGAACCCTATGTGATTCAAAGGATAATTATTATTAATAATATCACAAATGCGATTGTCATACTT